CATCCATCCATCCATCCATCCATCCATGCATCCATCCATCCATCCATCCACCCATCCCTGATCTTGGCTAGTGTCCCGAATACTGTCTGAAGTGGTGGTGGCACTGGCCCCAGGAGGCCACCACCTCCATGGGCGCTATGGAGTATTCACCTCCACAAATTTCCCCAGCAGATAGTTGATAGTAATCCAGCCATAGGCGCCTTCTTCTTGGCCACTGAGGATCCTGGCACCCTGGAAGTCAAAGGAGTATTCGCTAAGGGATTTCGCCACTTCATCCAGGACACTGTGTGCCAAGTGTTCATTTTGCATTCTACATGAAAGAAGAAGTAAGGTTAGCATTTTTGTCTTGGTAATTATATCTCCTGATGTCAGCTTTCGCGCAAGGATACCAAAATGTGAGCTGTGGTACACAGAGCTGAGGGATGTCACGTGTGGTCAGGGCAGCCCTCTGTTTCTGAGGAAACAGAGCTAATCTCGGTTCTCCCTCTCCAAATTAAATTCTTCCAATTCCTTTTTCTTCCTTCTTTTCTTTTTAAAAAATGTATTCAGTACAGGGTGTTCAGGGTCTCACTACGTAGATCGGACTCATAGTGATTCTCCTGTTTTCAGCCTCCCAAGTGCTGGGATTACAGGCGCGTGCCACCAGGCCCAGTCTCAATCGCTGTCTCAGCACGCCCCCAGGCCGGAACCGGTACAGCACACTGGGTATCAAACCCGGCTGCTGTGCCTGCCTAAGCAGGCACTTTATCCTGCTGAGCTATCTGGCCAGCCCTGATTCTTCCAAATCCTAAGAAGGTAGATCTTCCTAAAACATCATTTGTTCCTCTGTTGTTCTCTGGTTCCAAAATATCAAAGGTTCTTAAGATGACTATGGTGGTGGTGGCAGCTAGGTATTGTCACCATGCCTGAGAGCTGAGGTGCTCTACATGAGTTAGCCATTGCTGGGAACTCCTCACTGATGGCATCGACTCTGCTTAAGCTTTTTAATTAGGGATGCAGTAGGAAGTGAAGGGCAAGTGACCAGGAATAGACTCCCAACCTCCTTTGCTGTCAGACTGAGGAAAAAGAATCTTCCTCATGGCATCATTTCTTGGAGACTTTGACACATTAAGAAGGAGTTGTGCAAGGTTTTCCTAGTGAAGATGGGATGCAATCACCCAAAATCTAGGCCATGCAGTACTGAGAGTCTCTAGGGTTTGGTGTTAGGGGATATTGTCAACTAACCGTAACCTCCCATTAGAATGATGCCCATATCTACGGTCTGCCATCCTTTTATCCCTGACTTTCTTCCTCTGTGGTCCATCTTCTCTACCACTGATAGCGACTGTGTCCCATTCTTAAGCATCTTCTCATTATTTCCAGATAAACTCCAAATATCCCAGCCTGGCCTGAAAGGCACTCTGTGATCTGGACCCTTCCTTCTCAGAATCCCACTTGCAACCTTTGACTACCAGGCGTGTAACCCTCAGTGAGTTACTTAACACTTACAATCCATAGTTTCATTATCTTGTTTATAATAGAAATAATATCTCTCACTTCAGAGAGCCATGATTAAATTAAACAAACTGTGTTAAGAACTTAGCACAATACTAAGAACACAGCAAGGGCCCCAAAATATGACCTATTATTATTATTATTATTATTAGATTACATAATAATCAGCTGGGCATGGTGGCACATGCCTATAACCCCAGCACTCGGGAGACTAAGGCAGGAGGATTGCTCTGAGTTCAAGGCCAGCCTCGGCTACACATGGAGTTGAAGGTCAGCATGAACAACATAGGGAGACCTTGTCTGAAAAAATAATAAAATTACATAATGATAACACCTGTAACAGACCGCAGTGTTGGCCCTTACCTTTCCTGCACGCTAGTCTCCCATCCCCATTTCCGTTTCCCTGCCTTTGTATATCCATTAGAACAGACACATTGTGAAGTCGGGGACTTTGTCCTATTCAGTGCTGTAGCCACAGCACTCAAAACACTCTGGCACAAAGTAAGTGCCAAATGAAAGTTTATTATTGGATACATAGGGCTGAGGAGACGGCTTGGTGGTCTAAGCACCTGCGTGGCAAGCGCAAGGACCCAAGTTTGATCCCTGTTACTACATGCTGTGCCAGCCACCAAAACCAGGCGTGGTGGCACACCCTTGGAATTCCAACACTGGGGAGGCTGAACACAGGAGGATCACTATGAGTCCCAGCTGCTTAGTGAGAGCCTATACCAAATACCTAAAAAAGTAAAAAAAGAAAAAAAAAAGTTTTTTTGAAGGGCTGGCGAGAAAGTTCAGCAGACTAAGCACCTGCTTAGGCAAGTGCACGGACTAGGGTTTGAACCCCAGCATCACATGCGTGCTGGTCCCACCCCCAGGCGTGCTGAGCCGGCCATCAAGACCAGGTATGGTGGTGCACAACTGTAATCCCAGCACTGGGGAGGTTGAAAACAGGAGGATCACTGTGAGTTGGAGCTATGTAGTGATACCTGTGATAGATAGATAGATAGATAGATAGATAGATAGATAGATAGATAGATAGATAGATAGATTTATTATTGGATGCATAGACATACTGCCTACTTTGCCTGATATGCCTTTCCCTTATCCTCTGACTCATCCTTCTTCTGACATTTCTTTCTGCTCACAGGATCTTAGTCTGGGGAGCACCAAGTGTACCCCGCCCCCAGCAGCTCTGAGCATTCTTGATCAATGAAAACAAAATTGATCAATCTGTATGGAAACTCTGGTTTCCTTGAGAGCTGAGTTACCTACTTCCACATTCTAGGAAGAAAAGGTCCTCATGAGATGCTGAATGAATGAATGAATGAATGAATGAATGAATGAATGAATGAATGAACAAGTAGCCAAATAATGCACACAGGTACAAAGTGGTGACCAATTAGAAATTTACTGTGCTAACTGTCTTGGGTTATCTGTGGGCCTCCTCTAGTCTCCATCCTCTTCTTAGATACTGACTAAATCTGATCCCAGATCCCAAGCAAATTCAGTCCTCCTCTCCCCTCCATGAACTCCTCATGGGGGGATAGGATAGGCAAAGTTTTTTACATACTTAAAGTCTTACTCCTGTGATACTACTTATGAATACTATGAGTTTGGGAGTTTTACTTACTTGTTGAAATTTTCTTCTTAGATATAGACTTTTTGGGGGGTGGTACTGGGAATTGAACTCAGGACCTCACATTTACAAAGCAGGTGCTGTGCCACTGAGCTATATCCCGTTCTAGATGTAGACTTCGAAGATGTAGAGTTTGGGTTGTTAGGGAAGTGTGGCTGTCCCCATAGTTTCAGAGGTCCCTGCACTTCTTCTACTACCTGGCCACCTTCAGTCCCTGTAGGCTGCTGTACCTGAGTAGCCGCATGCCGGCTGTAGCTCCCAGGTACACAGGCGTCTCTGGGTGCAGGGACCGTGGAACCACATTCTTGCACCTTTCCATGCATGCAATCAGGTATGTTTCTAGAGCATGTAATTTATTACTGTATTTTGCCACGCCCGGGCCTAGAGAGAGATGTAGGAGATGACAAAAAATGTATAGGGCATACCAGGACAACATTACAGCGACATACAGTGTTGGTTGAGAAAGATACAAGAACACAATTTCCTGATTGCTATTCTTTAGATTGTTACACTTCACAAGTAACTCTTTGAACCTAGCACTGGAATGATTCCATTTTTAAATCTTGGGTTGTGTCTGTCTGGTATTCAATAACTTCACCACTGGATGGTGCACTTCCATATTCAATGATAGAACATTTTCTCTCAGATTTTGATAGGGATCTTACAGACAGGCACACTCTTGGCTACTTTTAGATGATCCTTTTATTAATAACATTAGTTCCTAGAAGACTTAAATAAACATGATATTTAAAATTAAAATAAGCACCATAACTGCAGACTCTCAACAAGATAGAAGCCGTTGCCAGTTAGCTGTGTATGTAAGCACAACCAGGACCCTAAAATTTCTGAGGTAGAGCTTCTTCTTTTTTAGATGAAACAGGAATTGAGTCAGTATCTCTTCAGCGACTTTTCTACTCCAATACCCTGCTGCCTTCGTAAACTGCTTTTCCTGTTTTACAGAAAAATTCACTGTTGCTATGGAGAGAATTAGAGCCAAAATTCCATTAGCTTTTTGAAGTTCACACTCAACATTTTCATCTCACATTAAGATAAATATTACATCATGATTCATAAGGAGTATTATTTGAAGATAATTATTCAAATAAGTTCAGCAGATTGTTTACAGGTTTTTAAACAACCTAAGTATAATGAGAAAATCGTGTCTAAATTGTCAGCTATTTTCATTCTGATAATCTGGCTTGAGCAGTTCATAACTTCCTTTCAAAAGGGGAAAATACTGTATTTGTTAGACTAAACATTCATGGACTCATGCAATGAGTCTTGGAAGAAACATATCTGCTAGCTTCATAAACAGACCTTTGGAAAGTGGAAGGGAGGGAATTAAACAAAATGAAGGGTTGGGATCTGAAGATGTCTAGGAAGCATTGTCTCGGTATTGATGGGGCTGAAGTCTGAGGGTACCAGGGAATTAGTAAAATGACTTGAAAACGCCCCCTGCCTACTACTTTCTTGACAAAAACCAGTGGACACTACAGGCCATCAGCCTAAAACTTCGTTATCTTCTGGAATATCGGTTATTTGTCTGGCTACCAGGAGCGCCAACTGGGCACACACTAGAGCTGCACATGCTCAGGCCGCCTCCTAATCTGACTCCAGAACTCTAAGCGGTACTCCGCATCCCTCTAAAAGCCTTCCACGGGCTTCTGGTGCACTTTCAAGTCTGAGAACCACTGGCTAACATGTGAGTTTTAAATCTAGCGGGCCTCACTTTGCACCCCAGTTCCATCATGTGCTAGCGCGAGTGACCTTAAAAAGTGGTGTTAACCTTTTCCAACATTGGTACTCTCATTTTAAAAAATGCAAATAATGATACTTATACTATTTTCATAATGATGAAATAACAACAGCAGCTCCACTGTGTTCTTCCTGCCTTCCCTCGCCCGGGCTTCTCTGTCTCTTTTCTCTCACCTGCCACACACCTCTTGCACGCCTCCTCCCACTGTGCCCTCCCCTGCCTCACCTTACCTTTCACTTTACACTCTTCCACCTCCTGCACCACCCCTGTGTTGTTCTTCTTCTCGGCTGGCCACTTGTAGATGTACAAATTTGTGTGAGTCGATCCTGCATCCAGCACAATCCCATACTGAGGGCAGAACAAATTTTTTAAAAGTATCAACATCACTCTTCTCCAAGTGCAGCTTGCGTGGGAAGGGTATGAGGATGGGAGGCTTCCAAAGCACAAGGGTGAACTACAGTATTTTCATCTGAGAGGAATGTCAGGCAGGGTGGAAGGCTGGGGTCACCTCAGCACAGCTACAAGGACACCCGCGAGGATGGTCTCTTAGCCCTGGTTGCACATTAGAAGCATGTGCAGCTTGCCCAGGGTGGGGTCTGAGCAACAGTAGGATCGAGAAGCTTCGCAAGGGATTCTAATGTGCAGTCGAACTCAGACGCGCACGCTGAAGTAGCTGAGACACTATGGGAGCGACAGGAAACAATTCAGCCAGTAGCTCTCAAACTTGAATCACCCAGAGAACTTCAAAGACTGCCAGGCCTGTGTCAGACCCCCAGATACTGTCATTTAATTGGTCTGGTATGTGGCCTGGATTTTGCAAATTTTATAAGATCCTATGTGATTCTAATATGGAGATAACTTTGGGAGCCACCAAGTTAATCCACTGAGGGTTACGCAGCCCAATTAAACGGCTTGATCTAATTGTAGCTCAGTGGTGAGCACTGAGCAGGGAAGGATGGTGACTGAAGTCTGAGGCCTTTGGCACAGTGGGACATCTCTCAGAGTGGAGACAGAGGCTCCCAGGCTACACAGTAGAAATCTGTGTTGCTCCCTAACAGGGCCCTTGAAATCTTCTTGCCACAAAATGTTCCAACAATAGCAGAGTGTGGTAAAGCCTAGAGAGACAGCAACAACTTGTACCCTCATCTGGAATCCAATATTCTATTCTGTCTAACTTTGTTGACATGAAAGTCACCTTCTAATAGACCTAAAGGGCCAGCCTTGCTTCTAGCAGCTTGCTTATTTAAGGGGTTATCCTGTGAAATGGTTGACAAATAAAAGCTTTTACTGCATATTGTTTGCAAATACTTATAAAGTGGGGAGGATGCATTTTGACAGAGAAAATTGAGACCATTTTACCTTGTGTATTTAGAACACTGGAAGCCCAACCTGCTGAATTGTGCCAAATGATTTTGGGGTGGTTATTTTTCCTTTTGTTTTCTGTACTGGAATTTAATCAAGGCCTTCACACATGCCAGGCAAGTGCTTTATCACTGAGGTACACCTCCAACACTGAAATGCTTTGCAGATAAAAATTGGCATTCTTCCTTGGGGCAGCTAAGTCTCAATTATCTGACAGCCCTCCCTTTTAGAATTCATGGAGTTTGTCTTTCACAGTTCCAATGTCTGGGCTGGGGAGATGGCTCAGTGGAATAAGCGCTTCCCTGGCAAGCGCAAGGGCCTGAGTTCAATCCCCGGTTCCGCAAAAAAAAAAAGATATATAGTTCCAATGTCTACGTAGGGCCCCGGGAGCCGCTTTTGCTCTCCTCTCGTATCATTTTCCCACTTGCATTCCAAGACACCCTGGGCCTGAAAGTATCTCAGCAAGGAAATCTCTCCAGAATTTTGGGGACTATTCTTATTCTCTTCTTCTCCTGAACTCCCCAGCTGGTTACCTAGTGAATTAAAGCCTGACAGCCCAGCGCCTTTGTACTTCAGGTATAAAGCACTTCTAAAAATCCCTAGAAGTATGTCCTTTGTACTAAAGAAACAATTTAAAGTTTAAGTGCTGAGGAAAAGATCCGATATTCCCGTACTATTTCAGTATTATTTTATATTTTAAGACTACTAAAACCAAGAAAACAAAGGGGGAAAAGACATTTAAGATGTCACATAAGTATTTTTATTATTAATAAAATAATAAACACCTATTTTTCTTCATTTCCTCCAGTCTTTTTAAATGTGCGTTTTAAAATGTGGTTGTAGCTTTACTGTGCATACAATTTTGTTCTAACACCTAGTTTTTGGTCATGTACATGATTTTATTGATTATAACTGATCTTCATAGCTATACTGCAGGAACGAAAGTGGAGAGGTAGAAAGAACAGCAGAAATGGCCCTTTGTGGCTGAGGGGTCAGCAGGCCCTTGTGAAGACCTGGAAATTCGGGCATCAATGGACCCTGAGCTCCCTGGGAGTGGAGGCCACACGAAGGTGGGGCAGGCCCCTCTTTAGGTTAGGAATAATCCTACCTATACAAACTCGTAATTCAAGGCTTCTAGGTAAAGCTCCTTAGATGTGGAAACACAGAGAAAACTGGAGTGTTGATGGTCTCTTGTTGGGTGCTTGTCATTCAGAAAACACTTCTGTCACAGTGGCCTGCTGGCTGTAGCTCACAGGCCATACGGCTTCTGTTCTACAATCTTTGCGCAGAAAGCCTGCCAGCTGAGGTCCCAGTCTTCTCTTATCTCCACAGATAGAGATTTCTTTCTCCTAATCAGAGTGTTGAGCCACATGATGTAACCACATACACTGTATATGTGGCTATTTGGTTAATGTCTATTATTTAAATTGTGAAAAATAAAGGCAGGTCTACTTTATTTACCATGGCATTTCCAATATCCTCCATGGTATATTCTACTATACCGTCCTACTATACCTACTATACCATGAGAGAATTCAACAGATAATTATTGAATCAAAAGAATGAGCGAGTTGGGACCATATGGTTCCAGAATTATTTCAAATCCTACAGGAAGTGTATACTTACACTCTAATAAAGTAGCGCCATTAGGGTTGTTCTGTATAACTCCCCACCAAATACCTCATAAACCAAGTGTTGTGGTTTGAGTGTTTTCTCCTCTAACATTCATAGTTAGAAACTTAATGACAATGCAGTAGTGTTGGGAGGTGGAGCCTAAGGTGAGTGTTTAGGACATGAAGGGTCTGTTTTCATGAATGAATTCATGACACAATAAAATGGACTTTCAGGAGTGACCCTTCCCTCTTCCAGTCTACTGCTATAGGAGAATAGGGTTTCTCTTCTATAAATGCTCAGTGATTATTTTTAGATGAGTGAATATATAAGATACATGCAGAGACTAATGAAATCTAGTTCTTTTCTTGAATGTGCTTCTAGTCTAGTAGCAGCTCACCAAGCAAACACACTGTATAATAAAGAGCTCTTGATGAGTTATTTCAAATGTGCCCAGCTTTGTCCTGGTGAGGCTGAAACCAAAATGGATCAGGAAGAAATACAGCAGAACTATATCATTGGTATAAACCACATATTAGCTATGTTATCTTTTAAATAGTCATTTTCATAATCAAATATAGTCAGTCTTCTATATTCATGGGTTCTATATCTGTGTATTCAACCAGCTACAGAGAAAATATGTACAGATGGGCCTTTTCTTGTCATTATCCCCAAAACAATATAGCTATAACAATTATTTAGGTAGAACTTATGTTGTATTAGATATTACAAATAATTTAGAGATCATTTAAAGTATATGGAAGGATGTGTATAAGACATTCCATTCATAAATACCTCACTTTATGCAAAGGACTTGAGCCTCCACAGATTTTGATAACCACAAGAGACTCCTATAACCAATCCTCCACAGATAGTGAGGGATGACTGCGCATTTGTTACAACAACTACTCAAAGCAGTTTTGCAACCCATAATATTTGAGATGATCCTGGCACCAGTTTAAAAAACATAAAATAAAAATAACTTTTCCTTCCTTTAGCTGTTATAAACTGTTTTATCATACACCTTATTCATCTGACTTACTTTTGAATGATTTCAGAGACATTAGCATAGTATATCCCAAAGCAGCAACGTTCCGTTGATTAATGACACCCTGCACATAACTTGCTGCCGTGATGGAAATGGTCTAGCCCTACACTCCCTCTAGCGTGTGTCAGAAGCCTGAGAAACTTGGTGTTTAACCTCAAAAGTGGCTACTTTTATATATGAAATTATCTTTGATAGGGCCATTGACTGGTCTTCAAATACTCATGCCTTTTATTTAAAGAATGACAAAGACCTTGTTCTATTTTCTGGGCCAACATAATAACATAGAAGCATGACAGACTTGAAGACCAGCCTGAGTAAGGGAAGTCCTCCATGACCACAAGTATTCACTGGGAACAAGAGCCTTAGTCTGCCCTGGATCTTTCCCCCTCGGCAGTCTTGCTCTCCAGTGATGCAATGCTGAATATGAGAAAAGGTCAAATCAAGAAGGCACTCGTGTACTTTTGGAGCTAGTAAACAAATAGCAGAACCAAGATGTCATGAGCCTTCAACTGTGAGTGAAGTTTTGCCAACAGAACCAACATCACTCAACATCAAAAGGCAAGAGACCACCAGTGAGATAGCATCAGCCTTCTATCCTGACAAAGCAGCTGCTGTACACAGGTCTACTGGGTTGAACTTGTGCAACCAAAGGATGCCAGTGTAACAGCCATGCCTTTGCTGTTTCACAAGTGATTTGGATGCATGGGAAAAGTTTTATAGGGCTGGCATGTGGGCCCATCTTTCCAGGCTTACAGCTCATCATCTTCATATAAAAGAGAACATACTTCTCTAGATGCATTCCAGGGCCTCCACGGTCCAGCTAATGTCACTGTGCGCATGTACAGGTATGCTAAATATCATATTTATATCCTCTATGCACATATAGATTTGTTAACTATCACTTCAGTGGAATATTTACAAGGTAATTACAAATTTACTTTGTGATTTTAAATTAACAAATGAAATTAAAATGTCCATATTACAAGTGCTATGTCTGAAACGTTACTGAAAGAACTAAAAGGAACTACACCATATACAGTTAATGACCTTAAGGACTTAAATTATTTTAGCTAGCTCTTCAAAGGGAAAGGTTTAACAATAAATCTGCCCATCCAAGAATTTTGTTTCAAATGACTATACTTACTATATGTATATGCTCTCTGAATTTTTTTACCAGTTTTGCTGCTTTAATATTTTCGGAGAGAAGAAAGATGTCTTCTGAACAATCTCTGACTTCTGAAGTGCTTTACACAGAGATATTTAACACACGTTACTGATTTGGTGACAGTGATGACAATAGAATAAAAAAGTGCAGTACTGTGGCTAATCCATTCTGAGACATGGATTATATGAAGTGGAGATAGTAAGAGATCATAGAATATGAGCATAGTCTTAAAAAGTCTAAAAATTATTTTAAAAGTCTAGACAAGGTGAACAAAGCATTCATCTCTATTCTTGGCTATTCAACAAATTTACTGAATAAAGACAATTATCTTCCCACCACTAATTAATTTCAAGGCATTTCTTCTTCTAGAAAGAACATCTGTTTCCATTTTATTCCCCTAATCCAGTAGATATTGACCTTTTTCTAGGCTTCTAGACCTCAGTCCCCCCTGCATAATTTATCCAAGCCCTTTATTCCTTACCACGTCCAGGCCCCTTTTACCCACATACACAGACACACACATCTACACACGTGATCTGACTTGCCTTAAAATTTTCTGGCAGCGGTTTGTTCTGGCTCAGCCCCACAGCAATCAAAGCTGTCACAGCAATGACAGAGGAGAAACCGAGGATCACCAGGATATGTTGGGAGCAGAATCTTTTCACATTGGAATCTAAAACCAAAATCATAAGAGAAAATATCAACAAGGAACCAAAAACAGTGATTATCCTCACATTTCTGTCTGGTCTTAGGATGGCTCTCTGGAGACACTTGATATTTCGTATTAATGTTTTTATCTGTAAAGCACTTTCAAACATAATTGGGAAATAATTCAAGAACAAACGCATCTGTCTGCACTGTGATGAGAGCCAGAACTAAATTACGGGTTACACAACTCTGCATGTTTTAGTTGTTACAAGTGGGTATCCCCACGCAGTGCCACAGTGACACCCTTATTACCTTTTCCTTTGAATTCAGTCGAACTCCTTCTGGGAGTTCTATGCAGTATGTGATACTTAAAAGAAGAGACTTTACCATGTATTTACCTTGTTTTAAGTCTTCTGTATTAAATAAAAATACTCTTTATTTTTTTCTTGAAAAAAAGAAAAACTGTAGGGGGCTGGCCAAATAGCTCAGCAGATTAAAGAGCCTGCAAGCAGGCGCAAGGGCCAGGGGTTCGGTCCCCGGGCCTGCTGTGCCAGCCCCACCCCAGGGCGCACTGAGCAATTGAGACTGGGTGTGGTGGCACATGCCTGTGATCCCAGCACCTGGGAGCCTGTAAACAGGAAAATCATTAGGAATCTGATCTAGTAGTGAGACCCTGAAGACCCTGTAGACCCTTCCCTAAAATACAGGAAAAAAATAGTTATCCCCAGGTGTGGTATCACGTGCCTGTAATCCCACTAC